TATATATATATATATATATATATATATATATATATATATATATATATATATATATATATATATATATATATATATATATATATATATATATATATATATATACATATATATTTAAGGTGAGATACACTGGGACAAAATACCAAAAAGCCGTTATCGGGACCCACAGCATTTGCTAAATTAGCTATCAAACGAAGTACTTCCCGCATAACAGAGTGAAGTGACAAAGCTCACTTGGATTTTATCGCAATCCTCTCTTTCATCCAGTTCAATGATTTTATATAAATCATCGCTCATTCGAAATGTACTTAATGCTCGCTTTGCGTTCCTGAACTGGCAAAAATGTGAGGAAAATACTATCTGTAGAATAAATGAACGTTCCCCCGCCATTCAGTACAGTAATCTCTCTAATTGAAACGAAATGCTAAACATGACTACAAATTGGTATCGAGGGGAAAATCTACGATAACAGGCGAAAGTAGTTTCAAATAATGTTCCTTGCTAGTACTAGCATACCCACGATTTGCTTAAATTAATGAGACATGTTGTCATATTTTAATATTATCCAGTAGTTGTCATAACAATATTCTGGTGTGATATGCAGACTGGATGTTCTAATCATAATTGTGATTTCGCTGCAGAAATGGTTTCACACAATCAAAACATACTTGCAATATGGGCAGTAGGTTTTGCTGAAAACAACAACTGGAGCTGAATTTGTCAAACCGGTAACAAACTTATGCGGATCCATGCTAACTTCCGATGTTCCTGATGATGTCTAAAACCACTTGTAAATTAATGCAGACAATTGAACAAAGAACTCAGTACTATTATTTGCAGTGTGAATTTATTTTTAAACCTGGTATAATATTCCAATAAAAGAAAAAAAAGAGAAACTAATGACACAGTGTTTGTTGGTAGCGTTCACTTTTTCCATGACGCTTTTCAAATGTTTATGTGCTTCGGCTACTTTGCTGTCTAATTCCTGTTGAGCTCGTTTACGAGCTGCGCGTATACGATCCTCGTATGCCTCCTGTAGTTCAGTGTCTGCAATACTTTATAAACAATAAAATTTTTTCGGTCCAATACGCTGTTATGAATTGAAAATTGCTAACCCAAATAGAAGATGCTATGTCTTCTAAACAAAATAATCCATCGTTTTGCAGAAAATGATTGTTTCATAACGATTAAATAAAAATTATGAAGGATGATAAACAAAAACATTTGATTTAAGGGGGATATTGCGAGAAGTGAGTGAGTAGTGTCAAGTTTCTGAAAACAAAAGCTGACTACTTGATGACGCATTTTTACTATCTCTTGTTATTAATAATAATAGGTAGCATTACTGATAGTGATATTAATAAGCTACTTATGACCATCTCTCAATGATTTTATCCTTAAAAGCTGTCGCAAGACATATCACAGTTTTCCATGTTTAGCTTAAAAACTGCAATTTTCATAAAATGAATATAGTTTGCTTATTGAAAATGGATAAAATAAATGTATCATACCAAATTTTTTTCTTCTTTCTAATTCCTTCCTCCGTTGAATATCTTGAATGAACGGTGAGATAAATCTTTTATATACGAGTTGGAACAGTACAAGACTTCCCAATATCAACCAACCGTATTCCCAAGAAAATATCTGCAAATCGATAAATCAAAAAATTATGCAATATCAAGATCACAATGATTTATAGTTGGTAACGCAACTTCTTAAATGAGGCACACACACAACTTTATCAACCAGTCGAGTCATGGAAAAAGAGATGGAAATAACAGCAGTGAATTAAAATTATGCGTAAGGATTACTTGCTCTAATAATCAGCTGCGACCTTTAATAGTTCAGATAAAAATGAATGGTTGCTACAGTTACAATTTATGAAATTTTAATTCATGCAAATAATCACGTATTGTTCAAATCAGAATTCACTACCAAACTACGAATTTGTACCTCTGCATTATTGACTAGGACTGTAATTTCAGTTCCAAAAATAATCAAGCACTCTGAATCAGTCATGAACTAATACAAATTGTGAGATAATTAATTAACAAGATATCCACGTCTTGCTCTGGTGGTCGTTAAATAAGGCCCGACTTCATTTTTTTTTCTAAAATAAATAACCAACAAGATGAGTAAGAACTATCGGTATAGATCACAATTCCACGTAGTGCACAACACAACTACCCCATTAGCTTGGAGAGATGGGATTTTAAATCAACCTAAAGTCAAACAACAATGCTAAACATCGCATACGTTTAATATGAGACAGAAAAAGCAAACAAATCTCTGAAATCAACAAAATGATTTCTAGTCTAATGAAAAGGAGATACATACATACATGCACATATATATATACACATACACACACACACACAATCGGTTTTCAACAATTACATTTGAAATGAAATATTTGTAACTTGCAGGAAAGTTTTTGTCTTATCTTGATTACTTCGTGAATAAGTTAAATCTTAAAAGTCAAATCTCAAACAGATGAAAGAATTTACGAAAAACTGTAAAAGATTCAAAAATCAGAAACAATCTTCGTTTTTTCTCCCATTCTGAAATTGAAAAAAGAACTAGTGATATCACATAAGTTGGTATAAAGTCGTCAGGGAAAGATCGAAATATACTTAGAAATTCAGCAATCGGATTTCTAGATTGCGCGTGCTCTCTACTTGCCCTGATATTTGATAAGTGTTGAACTTGCCTGCATCAAAATCTTATTTTATAATTGAATTGAACGGCAACACTGGAAAACGCAGGTTTTATGGCAATTTCGAAAATGAAAAAAATTCTTCCAATGTCTTCGCCGCAAGTGCACTCTGTTGAAACTTTATGAAAAATTGCTCTAAAGAATATACGGAAAGTTACTTCGAATTCCGGCCTGGAAACTAATCGTAATAACTCATAAAGTTAGCAGTTTCATAAACTTTGGAGCAAAAGCATTTGGTGGTTCATAGAAAAGAATTCACTCTTTACTGAATTATTGGAAAAGCATCGACATAAAACCTGTTCAGTGATTTTTGTTTTTGCTACGACCTCAAATGCAGCATAAAATTTAAAATAAAGGAATTGTAGGGAATTCGACAAGCATATCAGTCCTGTAAACAATGACTCCTCGTTGAAAAAAAAGAAGCAAGCACCAAAATGTAATAGTGGCAATTTCATTACGATCATCCACTCATCCAGTTTTGTTTTTCACTTGACACAAGTACACCTTTACTTCCCTAACCATCCATTCCCTTTCATCGACAGTGTCCTCCATTTGTAGTTTTTGCTTATATTTCCGTCGAATAAAATATGGGCAATCTGCTAATAGACAAACAAAACGAATGACAACGCTTCTTTATTTTTATAACCGTTCTATTTTCTTTTATTTATAATTACAACAACATTGTTCTTCCTTTTTTCTTTCCTCTAATCTAACCTAGATTTCATTAATTTTTGGCTTGAAGACAATACTCAAGCAGTGACAGCAATTCTAAAACAACGACCACAAAACAACCACCACAAGTCATGAAAAAAACGAGAAAATGTGACAAAATAGTTTTTCAAAAAATGAATACAATTACTTGAACAAACGAAAATTTGAACAGAACAAACAAATCAGAATTTCACATTTATTACATATTTCATCTCTACTAACTATTAATTAATAGAAAAAAGACAATAAATAAAAGAAATAAAGAATGGTAATCCATAGACGCCCAATGACAACAATTATCATCCGATGATCGGTTGCTTTATATAACCACTTCTGTATCGTACTAAAAGGTGAAGAATGGCAACTGTGTAATAAAGATGCATACTTATAATACTGGAATGAAAGCACAACTGGTTATTTCGAGTAACCGGTCTCATTCCACAAAAGTTCTAATCATTTCTGAATACCTTTCTGAAGTAATAAAACCAATTAAATCTAACCCAGTAATGCATATAAAAGTCCAATATTGGATGATACCCGTCATCAGCAAATGACATTAACCAAAATATTACCCGATGCGATCAAATCTCTAAAGTTACGATGGTAAAATCAATTTTAACGAAAGCTTAGTGCCTTGTGAATCTCTATTAGAATCAAGTCCAGCAAACATGTTCGCCAGACGTCCATCCTTCTGTGCTATCTTGTCACTAATTCAATAGATTTTTCACTAATAAAAACTGTAGAACTGATCTAGCCCCTATCAATTATAGCAGTACATCCTATAAAGACAGAACAATAAGAAATATAATTGGTCTGTATGACCAGTTCTGTTAACTAGAAACTTTCACATAAACCGTCCGCACATATATATATGTTCAAGATGAGACAGACTAGAACAAAATACTATAAAGCAGTTCTCGACAATACAGAACCCATAGCATCTGCCAAATTATCTATCAGACGAAGTATCTTCTGCACATCAGAGTGAGGGTGACAAAGCTCATTTGAATTTTATCGCCATCTCTCTTTCGTCTAATCCAATGAAATTATGCAAATCATTATGCTTTTGAAATGTATTTAGTGCTTGCTTCATATTCCTGAAATACTCTCGAAAGAATATGTATTTCTGGTAAAAGAATAGCGATACGCATTTCTGATTAAAGTATGAACAAAATAAGATTAAAGAAAGTATTTCTATGAAAATTTAAATATGATACATCGCTCTTTACTTGTCTGTATCATATACGATTGGGCTATTTTTGGCGCAAGATGCAATTTATCACAGTATCTGTATTACAAATGAGTATGTCGGAACAAAAAAAATGAATCATATTCACATCAAGAGAAACGTAGACGCATGATGCGCAAATGATTCACAGCACGCATTTGCCCCCTACTGCAATTTCATCCTTAAATGAAACAAATCAGGGGATACTAGTTCCATTCAAAAAAAATTAGCAAGATGAAACGAAACCTTTGTTAGTACTATTGTGAATGTTTGGAAATACAATGTACAGTAATACGTGCTGATGTTGCAACACTATACCGCACTATGCATTATTTTATTAAGGCAACCTTCCGCTGCAAATATTGCTGATGATTCCAAATGCTGTTTCTCGACAATTCTGAAAATCTTCTAGAATATTCATTAATAAGACTCACCGGTATATTCGCAATAATGTCACCGCACTGCATACGTTTATGAGCACTTGATGCGCCATCACCTGAAGATGAAGTAGAGTGAATTAATGAGAGAAACAGATCGCGTTGTTTTGCAGTAAGGTAGACAGGAATTTGAGCGAGATCCTTCTGAAGAGGTGCTTCACCGTTTGGATAACGTACAATCTGAAAAAAGTGTGATTTTAAAAAACGATAAGTGTCAAATAAAAACCAAACCAAAAACATTATCAATTAGAAGTTATCAGTTGATGTGTTACCAAAACATTCGCTTGCCACAAATAACCGACAATTAAAAAACAATAAACATACCATAACCTCATTATTTTCATGGATTGTTGAGAGATCTTGCTTACGACGAGATTGCGATGCGGAGCGCCCATCACCTGATGCTATGTTTGCGCTGTCGCTAGCTGTCTGTCTCTTTGCATCTTTTGATGAGGTGCTTGCAATTTCTTCTTCATCTGCAATAAAGCTAATGAATTTTTTCCATCTATCCTTAGAAGAACTTTTCACCGCTTCTAGCACAGATGACAAAAATCTTTGATATATTTACGTCTCATGATATACGGTACTTAAAATACATTTAAATTCAGCAAAAAAATATGACTAACTGATGTTGGATAACAAATCATCTCCATATTTCATTCTTCGTGCTCGTGGAGTATACTGTAAACGACAGGTTTTCTTGGTCTGAAACTTGAAGTTATCATAAAATGCCAACAACAACTTGATAAAACATGTTTATGGCAGAAAATATTATCATTACATTACTAGCCACATCTGATCACGAAAGCATTACCATTATATCTCTGGTACTTTCTGCACCAGTTGAAGAGGGTCCAGCTGAAGATAAAGCAATTGGCGATCGTGCTGCACTACCATCCAGTTCGTGGTTACCAGTCACAACATTGCTATAACAAATAAATGCAACTTTTATAGATTTGTTTGAGATCACTGAGAGCATAAGAGAGAG